AAATATAAACGAAGAGTTATCGAGTGCAGATACGGAAAGATCAGAGTGACTAAATCGAAAAACCGCGGGCTGACTTTATCGTTTAAGTATAAGTCGACATCGTGTGCTTAATCTTTGCATATGAATCGGTCAAATGAACTACGATATTGCTAATAACGTGCCTGAACGTACTAAACGATCAGAAGGTCTCAGTTTCGAATTCAAAATTTAATACAGCGGTTTTGTAACAATTGTGCGGTTGGCACAGTTCCTTTGCGACTGATCACACTCAACATTACAGCGTGCTACGGCGACAATCATAGCACGACCGCAAAAAAGTCGGGCAAAAAGCCAGGCGAGGTCTTTCGCTACACTGGGGCAGAGCAGGAGCGACAAGTAAATTCGGGTGGGTGCGTGGCGGAGGAAGGAATGCTATCTTTAGATGACGTGCATCTGAGGAGAGGACTCCATGGGCAGGAGCACCAGGTTCCTTCTTTAACGAAACCTCTCACGCACGCAGTCACATATAATTAACTCGCAAAATGTAAATCAGCTTACCGTGCCGACAAGTTGCAAAACGCCGAAATTGTACAGCATAAGTAGGCCATGTACGAAACGATAGAAATCTGCGTTTATGAATGAATCAGGACCATAAAAGCCTAAAAACGCTGCGTTGAAACAAAACCTCTACCAAGAAATTTACAGTTGACATTTTACCACCCAAAGACAGAAAGTACGCAGGTACAAGCAGCATTATGAAGTGATGAATGTAGTACGAAAGTACTTCGCCAGGGTACTAAAATGCAAATATCAAATCAGACTAAGTTGCATTCTGACATTTGACGCTCCGCGTTTTAAACCACGTGAAAATATCTCAACAGCTAACAACGAATGAAACAATCCTAATGCAGGATGGGTACAGAGTAACTAATAAATCCAGCGTCGAAACGATCAGAATCAGACGGCAAATGATTGCCCGTCAGGGCAATATAGCGTATGGAACATATTCTTACGCCCTAAGAGTCCTTAAAAATGTGCAAATGTGCATGACAAATGGTAAATATGCAAAACAATAACAAATTTACTTAACAGATTACGAGTGATCATGAAAGCATTATGACATAATTAACATAAGCCAGTAATTTATTCACCGACCCTCTGCATACTTTCATTATTAGTTACAAAACAAACCTTCACAAAGCGTTAGTGAAAGTTCTTCTGTTTCTAGTGCCAAACGTTTTCCGCTGTCCGTTATAATGGTTTATAGGCTGATAAAGACTCTCACCGCACAACTGCATGAATTCCAGCGATGGCAAATATAGTTCACTAGAGCAGAAGCTGGCTATCATCCCTGGGCAAAAACCAATTTAACGCATGTAAGCAGATACTGATGACTTAAAATCCATTTCAAACCTCGGCTCCAGTGTACTGCCTTAATTTTGGTTGAACCTTTTTGCCCATTTCGCGTAGAGTTAAATTTGAAATCGAAGTGAATTTCTGAATAACTGCAGGTGTATCTCAAACCTTAATATATTAACGTATTCCAAACAAGATCTTTTAAATGCAGATTTTGCTTCATGTACACAGGCAGCATAACCGACTTCAAAATTTCACACAGCACTTTTCACTTGACGAAAATACACTAGGTAAATGAAATCCGCCACTAATCAATGATATCCCTCACCAAAACCTCACGAAGTGCTACACTTCTTTGAATTCATTAGGATGATGAAAGTCTGTGAAATATCAGCAACAGTTCACGACCGTTGGCATCTGAGTGGACTGTTGAGCAATCCTAGCCAAAATCTTCGCTAGGAAAACGAAGATTGAAGGAAAATCAACCTATGTTCATGGGGCATCAACAACGACAATAAAAAAGGAAAGGAAAATCTGCAACTGTTGGAATGTCCGTCCTTCTCTTTACAATTTCGCAATGGAGCCATCTTTGGCGTCTTTCTTATGCGCTTAATGGTCGGGCGCAGATCTCCATTTCCACGAAGTCAGTCAGTAGAACCTTATGTTAAAAGCAGAATCGACACAACGATGTGGCAAGCATTCTCCAAGGTCTTCTGTTTTCTTTCCATATAGTGATGCTTATTTATCAA